GTATCCCATTTTCTGGTGCATCCTCCAGTTCCTTTTTCGTTCCTTGTTGCTGTTCTTGTTGTGCTCCCTTTTCCATTCCCTGTCGTTCTTCTTGTTGTTCCTCTTGACACCGTGCCCCTATCACATCCTCTGTCCGTGACCCTACCAATGTTCCCTCATAGTCCCCATTATTCCTTTGTTCCTTCCCGTGGCCACCTGTGCGGTCCTCCGATACTGGGCCCTCAGAAGATGGGGGCGGGGAGAATCTTGCTTGTATGATCGTCAGCATTTTCCGAGCACTTCCTCCCACAGCACCTCAGGTGGGAGCCCCTTTTCTAGTGCTGTTATCAGACCTCTGTATGTTTCGAACCATCTTAAATTTTAAAGTTTGTAGAACTTTAATATACAATTGGAATGGATTCCATTCAGGTGGTTGACTACCTTCTTCCCCTGAACGTAACGCATATTATGCGTTGTATTCAAGTTTTCGATTAAAAAAAAAAAATTAGAATAGGACGCATGTGGGGAAGAAGATAGTGATCAACAATGTAAAAAAAAAAAAAAAAAAAAAAAAAAAAAAAAGGAAAAAAACAACGAAAAAGAAAGAAAGGAAAAAAAGATAAACAGTGGCCAAAGCTGTCGTCTTACACGCTACACCAATAGATCGATCTCCTCACGCTGTAACTTCCAAGTGCTAAGCAGTTTCTTGTTTCTTTTTTTTTTTTTTTTTTTTTTTTGAGTTTCTTGTTTCCGTTGACTGTGGCATGGTCGGTAAATTGACTGGAAATTCGGCCTGCAGTTAATGGCCACAGTGAAATGAATAGGGATAATAATAATAATAAAAAATACCACTACCTTTTGCAAGCTAAGTCGAGAATTGGAAATGTGACGATCCGGGTTTAAACAAAAGAGAAAAAAAACACTACCTTCGGATGAACAGTGCTCGCAGACTCGGGCCTCGCATCAGTGGACTGCCCTTTGGGCCGACCACCCTCTCTGGTTTTCTCGGGTTTTTTCTTGTGATTCATTGCATAGGGTTGTGCATTGTATAATCACTCTGTCGTAGGATTACTGCATGGTGATTGCTGAACACAGCCGCCGGATAGTTACATACGGCTGATAGCTGTACATATAGGTTTTCTGAGATTAAGCATATATTTTTGTAGTTTTGTAGAGTGATAGATGTGTAGGACTACGATACGGTTGACTGCTGTACACAGCCGCCGTCGATAATGGATATTAGAATGTGGTAGATTGTAGGGAATTGGTGCCTTTTTCAATTTTCAGACTTTTTTGACATTTACAAGAAGGTCTCTGCCCCTGATACAGTCCAGGCATAGTCGTGGTATGAGCTTTGCTTGGCCGAAGAGCCTTGCTCAGCTCAGTACTGCGGCGATTTTTGTAAGGGACGCGGGGCCCGCTTCCCGGCTTTGGTATTCATAAACAGTGACTTTCTTTAAAAAAACAAAAAACAAAAAAAGACTGGCGGGGCCAGGCAAGAAAAAGAAAAAAAAAGCCGCAATGGCGGCTCATTTTTTTGGGTCTGCAGGGGGAATCCTCCTCGGCAAAAAGAGGCTCACAGGCAGGGGGGGTTGGACAAAAAAAAAAAAAAAAAAAAACCAGCCTCGGAGAGAGAGGGAAAAAACAAACAAACAGTTTTGTTATCCCACTAAGAACTATGTCTATGCGCGCAGGCTGACGTAGCAAACCGGGAGTGGATGCCACAGACTACCGTCTTCACCCGAACAGGACGCCCATTCATTACAGCTGTAATTTGGTGCAACTTTCAGTCTAGGTACGGCGATAATTACCAGGCGTTCTTTTCGGGTGAAGACAGTAGTCATCCAACCCAGATGCATGAAAAATTATATCTCATCGGAAATGAAGTGAGATGTGCAGGAGGAACCTCTGAAGCGGGATTTCCACCTAATCTTCAGAGACTAGTTTTCACTTCAACCAGGAGTCACACTCAGATCCCCGGAATGTTTTCTAGACCCCTTCCCTTCCTCTGATTTGGCAATGGTTGAAGTTCAGTGGTATGCTTTGGGAGATGATTAGATTTCGAAATTTCCAAGGTCTATATCAAAATTTTCTTCAATTATGGTGGTTATTATTCATAGTGCCAAGGCAGGCTAGAATTGTATGGTTATATCTGGCAGCCCCAAATAGGCTGTAGAGGCAGGCTGGCTCATTTAAACAAGAAAACAAGGAAGAAGCGTGACGTTTGGGACTGGGGATGGTAGGGAGAAAGAGGAATTAGCAGGAATAGTAGAATCTGGCGCCTGGTTCGAGGTGAAGAGATTCCCCCCTCTATCCCCTAACCTGCTCAGTCAATCCCCTGGATCCCAGGGCAATCAATGCTGACAGGAACCTTTCACAATGGTTACTCATTATTCATGATTTGGTGCAAATTCATTTCATGTAAGGGACGCTGGACCCGTTTTCCAGCAGGTGATGCTCCCCACCAATAGATGGAGTTTTTTTTAAAAAAAAAAAAAAAAAAAAAAAAAAAGAAGAAGTGAGATGTGCTCCAACCTTCCGTGCCTGGGCCCAATTCCTGATCACACTAAGTCCCAAGTTGAACCAAGAATCCGAATGACTACAGAACGGCCTAGCCCCGGCCTAGCCCCCGGGTGCCCCTCCGGGAGGCTGCAGCTGCTCCCCCCCAATGCAATGTCTCAATGGAGCTCTTCATAAGCCCAAAGCAGGTCTCGCTCCCCAACAACAGCTGGAGTCCCCTACGCCGCTATGGGGGGTTATTGTTGAGGGCTGCCCATACCCGCCCACAACAGTACTCCCCCCCACTGGGGTTTCTTTATTAAAAAAAAGAAAAAAGAGATGTACTTCCCGAAGTGAGATCTACTTTTGCTTCCAAAAGCCGGATATACTTTGGAGGACAGACTCTCTTTGGAAGTGAGATGTACAGAGGACAGAGGACTCCTGATTGTCTGTCGACAGACACAGGCGACCATCAGGAGAGACAGGCGTGACAGACGTTCGTAATGTAATAGCCACCCTATAGAGAGAGAGGCGTGACAGATACAATCAATGGGTAGCAAAGTTAAGCAAACCCATCCCGATACACGCGACCATCACCTCCCTCTGGCCCCCATCCTCTCCTACGTACCAAACATGGCTCTGAAGTAGAGATCCCGACCCGATGCAACCCCCCTCCCCCATCTCCTCCCCTTGGCCTAAGTATCGAAAAACACACCAGAAAGCGTCTTTTTTTCACAACGACGCAGAATGCCGATTGCCTCTTGGTTAATTTTGACGCTGATCCCACTTTCGAGCTGGACTCCACATTCATCTCGTGCTGACGTACCGCCGCCTCTCGTTGCAGGTCTTCAGCGTCCCCGCTGTTCCTGCTTGCTGTTGTTGCTGCTGTCGATGTCGCTGCTGGTGCGGCGGCTGCTGCTGTCGTTGTCATTGTGTGCTTGTTACGACTGCTGTTGTTACTCTAGCTGTCGCTGGTCTGCTTCAAGTCGAATTTTTCGCCGGCGTAGAGCATCGTCTTAGCGTTCGGTGACCAAACCTGAACGTCTGCGACCGAACGCGTACCAGCGCCAAAACCCTCCGAACGCGAACATAAAAATATTAGCCGGTGGAAAAGGAACCGGACTATCGTTCCCCGGAATGGAAAATGATCCAGGATCATAAGATCCTGTTTCGGTAAAAAATATACATATATATCGTCAAATAGAGCTGCCCGGTAAACCGTAGGCAGAGAGGGAGAAGAGGACAACAAACGAGGGGCTGTGACAAACTGTTTCGTCGGAGTTTCACCGACTCATCAGATATATATATACATATATCTCAGAAAAATCTGGGGAAAAAATATATGTTATCATTGTTATGTAAAATAATAATGCAAACAACTTTTGCCTGGGAGGTATGTTCAAATTCTTAGCCCAACGTGAGTTAAAAAAAAAAAGAAAGAAAAAAAAAAAGTTCGACCGAACACGTTCGGGAGGCATTCGGCCAAACACCCAAACATGTTCAGGCGTTCGCCACACAGTTTTTTGCTTCAATAGTTGTTGTTGTTGCTGTTGCTGTAGCTGTTCAAGTTGTTCTTGTCGCTGTTACGGTTAAAGTTGATTCTTTGCTGCAGTTGTTGTTGCTGTTGTTCACTTTCTCTCACTGCAATTGTTTTTTGGAGTTGTTTTCCCTGTGACGTTTAAATTTTGAAGTCATTTCTTCGCGCCAACCTTCCCGTTGCTGTCACCCGGGTTGTCGTCGTCAATCTTGCCGCTGTTGTTCTCGTCAATCTTGTTCGCTGTTGTTGTCGCTGTCGTCATCGCTGTTGGTATTGCTGTTGGTATTGCTGTTGGTATTGCTGTTGGTATTGCTGTTGTTATTGCTGTTGTTGTTGCTGCTGCTCTGCCTGATGACCCTCGGGGACTCCGACGGGCGCAGCTGGCTTTCTCTCCACAGTTCCACATACAGACTCATTTGGCGTGAAGGCGATCTCGGTCACGGGTCCCTCCTCCATATCATGAGAAGGGAAGGCTGGCATTGAATCCCCCGAGGTTATCTGGGTAGATAATGCATGATAGTTTTTTATGTTTGGGCCATCCTTCGGCAGGTTCACAGAGTAGATGACCAGTCCAACAGCGAATGCCCCGAACGCAACGTAGTACAGAGCGTCCACACGCTGATGAAACATGAGCGATCGGATCACAATCCCCCACACGTCAGACGTCAGCAGCGACAAATTGAACATCGCCGAGCCCCCAATCTGGAACAACAAGGGTGCCAAGAGGTAAAAAAGACCGGATATGCACGCAAAACCCAGAAACAATAATGAAGTGTCCCACCCGAACGTAAACGAGGCGACCTCCTGTCGCTCGAGCACTAGGAGCTGAATAAATCCGAAGATCGAACCAAAGACTCCGAGGAACGTCAGCATCTCCACTTTGCTGGTGTTTGCCTTAACAAGGAACTCCTCGCCAACGTTTGAACAAGCGTAAAGGGTCGCTCCGACGAGGACGAGGAAGTCGCCAAGCACCGCCCTTGGGCCTCTCGTGCCGTCATCGGCGTGGACATCAGAAAGGACGAGCACGGCGATTCCCATGATGCAGATGAAGATGCCGAAGAACTGTCTCAGTCGGTAGCGTACGCCTAGGAACAGCCATGTGCCCAGCACAACACAAGGTATCGTCCAGCAATCGAGCAGGAGGACGCTGGTTATCGACGTGTACTGGTAGGCCTTGATGACAATGTAGTTGGCCTCCAAATCGACGAGTGCGAGAGCCAGATATGCTTTCCATTGAATGTCCGCGGCATTTACAGCGCCCTTGAACCAGAAAACAGACCCGCAAACGATCACCAACAAAACGTATGTCGCGAGGGTCTGACTGGTCGGAATCGCAATCCCCTTGTCCACCAACAATGTGGAAACCAAAGCTGTGCCTGCGACCAGCAACGACAGGACCTGGCCCAAGGCTAGCGCCGGCAGCCATGTCGAACAGAAGCGAGCAGCTCGATTGCATATCCATTCTCCCATTTTCACGTCCCCTTCGCCCCTTTCCCACACTTTCTTCCTGATCCTAATGGAGGCTGACCCGGATCCGGATTTCACTACTGCTATTCCCTAGCAATCATGCAGATGCACGCAGATGATGACGCCCACTGGACACTGGAAGCAGAGACTCTGACACATGATGCCCTTTGCCCGCCGCAGAGAACTGTCATTGCACTTGTCTGCCGCCTGACTCTGCCGCGATCCAAGCCACTCGAAGACAGGCAAGGCTGGCGATGACCTGCCATTCATTTACGAACCCATACATTGTAAATTAATGGCAGAGTCACGCAGACCCATCTTTAGACCCATCTAAAAGAGTCGGAGCAATATCATCATCGGAGGTGTTCCTGAACCCATATACACCCCCCCTTTTTTTATGGCCCTGCTTGAACCCATTTTTTAAATGCTGCTTCTGCTTCTGCTTCTGCTGCTTCTGCTTCTGCTTCTTCTGCTTCTGCTTCTGCTTCTGCTTCTGCTGCTGCTGCTGCTGCTGCTGCTGCTGCTGCTGCTGCTGCTGTTGCTGCTACTTCAACTGTGGTTAGTGCTCGGAAGAATCTGCGTCATCGAGACCTATGGCGAACCTGTGATTCCTTTTTCCATGACTTCTCTATTGTATGGCCTATATTGTCAAGTTTTTTCCCGGATTATGCTAAGGTGCTCTTGTGAGCACGCTGGCACCCTACGGCTGAGGCGGCTTGCTTCTGCTGCTGGTGCTGCTGCTTGTGCAGCAGCTGCTTGTGTTTCTGCTGCTCTTCATAGTAATATCAGTGCTACTATTAGTACTACTAGTAGTAGTACTATTAGTACTAATAGCACAATTAGTGATGTATTAGTCGTAGTGTGCTATTAGAAGCGCACTAGTAGTACTGTGCTAGTACTGTACTATTAGTAGCACAGTATTAGTGCTACTATTAGCACTACTGCTGTAGTACTCCACTATTAACAGTGTACTCTTAGTGCTGTACTAATAGTGTTACTATTCGTAGTGCTATTAGTGCTACTACTGTACTCTTGGTACTGTACTCTTGGTACTACACTCTTAGTACTGTACTCTTGGTACTATACTCTTAGTAATGTACTACTGCAGGAAAACCTTCACCAATGAAATAACTTCTTCCATGCAGCTGGTTCAGTTCATGAATGCGATGACAGGAAGCCCTGATCTCTTGTCAAGTACACGAGTCTCAGCTGCACCTCACTGAAAGTGTGTTATCTATTGGATAAACACAACTCCACAATGACAGGGGTGCAGTTTGTGTGTGTGTGTGTGTGTGTGTGTGCATTTGTGTGTTGTTATGTTTGCTATACATAGCTCCACAAAAGAAGCCTGCCTTTTTACTGACTCCTCAGCAGGTTGCATGTGTTTTAGTTGAAGTAACTCCCCTTCCGCCCCCCCCCCCTCCTTTCCCCCGCCGCCAACACCAACACCAACACAGCAACCCCTTTTCCACCCCTGTCTTTAAACCATCACCATCAGAGAAACCCCCTTTACATCATCATCATCATCATCATCATCATCATCATCATCATCATCAGAACGACCCCCTTTCCACACCTACCCCGAGAGAACATAATTCACTGTGATTTTGCCCCCTTGAGGAGTAATGGAAGACTGATGAGACCGGACATCACGTGGTGCTGGCTATCGCACACGAACCGGAGACCACGAGCACTGATTGAGACAGTGCATTTGGACAGAATGGCTCTGACTCCTCTTCAGGTTTTTTTTTTTTTTTTTTTTTTTTTCCCTGTGTGAAACTCTTCGCCAGCGTCCGTAACTGTGATTCCGTTGTTCGCACAGTCTTGAGCAGGTGAACCTGTTTCCCTCTGGCACGTCCCACCAAGGGTCTCAAACGGTGCCACCGTTTGGCACCGTTTGGAAGTCCATTAATTTGAGAGTCCGTTTGCAGATCAAGTGCTCTCTTCGAGTAGCCAACCCCCTCCACCTTTGGCGCCGAAAGTGAGAAAAAAAACACACAAAACACAAAAACATACAACCACATTCTTTTGTGACGGCGTTAAAGTCGGAACGATGCAGACACTTAGCACAACCCCTTCACAAAATTTAAATTTGATTATTTAAAAACAAACTAAGCATGACAAAACACAAACAAAGGCACCCCTGTTTTGAGCCCCCTACTGATCTCTCTCTCTCTCTCTCTCTCTCTCTCTCTCTCTCTCTCTCTCTCTCTCTCTCTCTCTCTCTCTGTGTGTGTGTGTGTGTGTCTGTCTCTCTCTGTCTCACGCACACACACACACAAAAAAAAAAAAAAAAAAAAAAAAAAAACGTGCACCAATCAGTATTAATGTCAATCATTTTGATGGAATCCGAATCGCTTGACTGATCAAAGCGAAGGATCGGTATCACCTCCTGGTGATGTTGACCAGGTACATTCTGACAGGGGCATGCAACTCACTTGCTGGTGAGTGAATGGGAGAGAGGCGCTTTCCAAAAAACGTTTTTTTTAATAACAGACAGACATTTGAGTAAGGTATTCGTCGATGTATCCGGTCGTACCTTTAGACATTGGAAGAACACAGTTGTTTGGAGGGATTGGCGCGACAACTGCGACATATTCTTTTGTTTGTTTGCTTTTTTTTTCGGGGAGAGGAGGGAG